CCCCCGCATTTCCTCCTTCCCCCAAAGATATTACAAAATATTTAAAGCAAATACAATAGCTAGTCAAAAATGAGTTGGTAAAATTACTTCTCAAGCTCTGCTTCTGTGCCTTCCCTCATCCCCAAGCCTAATGTTTCAAGCCAGGTATTGCAAATTCCTCTAGTGCCTAGCAAGAGAGGACACGCTAGGCAGGACACATTTGCCTGTCTTCTGCTTAGATGTGCGATGGAATATATTATGTTTCCTGTTGGATGCTGTAACCCTCCTGACTTTTACTTTCTTTTTTAATACTTAAATACAATGATATCTTGAAGATTTTTTTTAAAAAAGCTAATAAGACATCTTCCTACTAAATATTCTCTATGGAAAATGCAGTCTGTAGATAAATTCTGTCCCAGGATGTACATTTGGGATTCCTGTTTGCTGGTGATCTACCGTGTGCTTCTGAGGGTATAATCTGACCTGTAACTTTAGATGTTTAGTGATCTTAAGAAACCTGAAATGACAAGGATTTTACCTGTTGAGATTTTGAATTGGGACTTAAGTGTTTTTTCGATGGTTTTGCAGTGGTGAGGGAAGTTCCCCCCCATGCAGCCACGTGGGAAGTTCCACGTGTGGCACTTCCAACCCTGATTCAGTTTGGTGACACGAGTTTGAGAGTAAAATTTTCAGGCAAGGGCATCTTTTGGGCTTTTGCCACAGGCTTCCTGTATGCATCTGTTCGAAGTGATTTAGCTTCCCCATTTCCCGGAGTCCTCCTCTCTTAATGAGGGTAATATTTCCCTGCTTTAACTGCACGTTGGGAGTTTTCAGCTGTCTCTTATTTTTACAACCCTTTAGGCTCTTCTGGTGGAACGATGAGTGACTGTTACTGGAGTGTAGGTGTTGATTTTTGCCAAGAGCTGAAATAAGGAAAGGGAGAAGCCTGAGGTCCAGTTAACAACTGGCTGAGCAGCTTTGCTGTTTCACTAACTGGGAGTCTTTCTGTGGGTGTCGGAGTGCATTGTTTGGATTGTCCCTCTGGTCGAGGATTTGTCATTTCAGATCTCCATGTGCAGAGCTAAAAACTTCAATCATTCTATCACAGAGGTAGAACAAAAGACTCTGAGGTTTATAATCAAGTCTTATTTACCTTTTTACTGAATTTTAAAACTAACTTCCACTCAGATCAGTGAACCTGAGTGTTTTTGTGTCAGCTACTAATTAATTTCCTCAATGGAGGAGAAACTGATACAAGCAAGTCATTCAGGTGTTCAGAGAGCAGATTTGGTTGTATGATGTTACAATTTGGAAAGGCAAGCAATGTAGGTGTGACTTCATCTTAAAAAACATTTAATTTCCCATTTCAAAACATGACCTCCGTTTATTGTAAATGAGGACTTGACAGACACACATGCTGTGGCGCTCCTATCCAGCTAAGCTCTCTGGGGACTGGCTTCTGTCAGCTGGTGCGGATGTGGATTGAGGGCTGAGGGAGTTGACCTTCTGCATGAGGAAGAAAGTAGACTTACAAAAAAGACGAAGTCTGGGCTGGAGCAATAGCTGCTCCTCAGTTGCCCCACGCCTGCTTTAAGCTGGCTGATTTCACCCTGAAGACAGAGCATGGTGTCCATGAAGGAAAAGCCATTTCCACGAGGGGAAAATGTGGTTTTTTTTCCCCCTCACAATTTCAGTGAGCAAGGTCTTTCACATAATCACTTTGTTTTTAACATAAATTTCTAGTGCTGCATTTCTTCCAGATGAGTAAGCAATAAACTAGATTTCACAGTGAGGAAAAGGTTTTTGGGATATTTTTTTTTTTCCAGAGAATTCATTCCCATTATTTATGCTGCTTTGTCTGCAGGCTTAGAGAGATTCTCAGGTGTAACATACTCCAACTATTTATGCTATAGCCACAAGCAAAATCACTTAGCCAAGAATATACTGTGTTGAAAGCCTGAATTCACTTTAACTCTGTTGTTGCCAGTTTTTTACAGTCTCTTATGTACCTGTTGCTTTAAAAAGCTGCTTTTAAAATTTGTTGGTGTTTTTTTTGTTTTTCCTCAAGCCCTGGTGATACAACTTTTGGCCTTTGTTAGTCCTGAAATAACCCTGTTAAAATTATTACAGTCATTTGTAGCTAAGGTCTGTGTATGTACCTGCTGGTGAAGGAAACTTAACAGAGCTTAAAAGCCCAAGTGTGCAAGTGCTTGAACATTTGTTCAAGCTTGTCTCTTCTTTCTGGTGTTCAAAAGAAGCTAGTTGTTGAAGTCCATTATCAGACTGTAAAACAAACTTAGCACACTGATTAGTTTGTTACAAAGCACGTCTCTCCACCTTCCCTACTTGACAAAGGAAAAGAATTTAATTTTAGTATCATAAAGGGTCATAAATAGTTGTTATGTACTGAGCACCTTTGCATTGCCACTTTGAATCAAGTCAAAGTATCGGAGGTTTCCAAAATTAAAGATGCGTTTTGCCTACATACCCTGGAGTAGAGCAGATATAGGTTGCAGAAAGACACAAAAGCAGAAAAATCCAGTGAAGTGATTTAAGATACGCCGCATTGCTTTGCGTTTGCCGTGGGCGACGAGCATACACAACAGCAGTTATCGCAGATCCTCAGGCACGTGGTGACTTGTGAGGCTGTGGTAGCTGGAGTGGGTGTCTGAGACCCTCAGAATCCAAAACTTAGTCTTTCAAGCAAATGCATAACACTTTGTGGTTTGCAACCCCAAAGACCACTGCAGCAAATACATTGATATGTAGAGTACAGCTATTTGTTACTCAATACTCACTTGCATTTTCAAATATCCTGTTTCCTGTGCCATTTGGACACATTTCTAGCTGGATACATTTCTTTCTCTCATTTTTGAAATTCTGTCCAATGCCAAAACTTTATTAGAGAATTTAATTCTTTTTTTTTTCCTCCCCCTTTCTTTCTCTGTTTGCCTGACAGCGTTTTCCAACAGAGGATCATCTGATGATTCACAGGCACAAACATGAAATGACTTTGAAGTTTCCTTCAATAAAAGCAGATAATATGTTATCAGGTAAGAAGACATGAATTCAAGAGTCAAGATAACTATTCAGATGATGTTGAAAGCATGACTCCTATTGGAAAGCTACTGGCAAAATACCTCAAAGATTGGTTTTTAAAAGCCCTAGCTCCAATTAAATAACAAGTAGAGATGGAATAAGCTAGAATGCATGTCTATGAACAAAAAGACAGTTGCCATTCTTATGCCTTACCACAGGTCTGGCATGAGAAGGAGAGAAATTGTTGAACTTCAGCCATGCTGGCAGCTCTATCGCTGACTCCCCTGTCAACATGCCAGTGAAATATAGGCACTTAAGCGCATGTCACCTGGGAGTCCAGCAGCGAGCGTGTTAATGAAGTGCCTTTGTGCTGTGCCTGTAAGACGCTATTCAAGTTTGACAGGCTCACTTCAGCAACTATAACAGGCCACATCGTATGAGCCACCTCTTTGGTGGCTCAAGACCTGCCCACTGTAAATAGCTATAACCAGAAAGGTAAACCAGTGGGTAATATCCAGTACT